TATATATATATATATATATATATATATATATATATATATATATATATATATATATATATATATATATATATATATATACAAATCGAAAAAGAAAATTTCATAGAGTAAATAAACGTCTTCATCGTCTCTATTAATATTTTCTCTTATATGTGTGTATCGTAAATGCGACGATATTAATACGTAAGAGAAATTCCAAGTTAAAAAATAGACATAAATTTTATTTTTAAATAAAAAAAAAAAAACGTTTCTGGTTTTTATATTGACCTTCCACTCCACCTTTTTAAAACAGGAAGAAGAAGATGAAAAAAAAATTCGTTTGTTAATAATAATAATGTCATTTTTTTTTTTTTACCGATAATATTAATAATAATAATAATAAACACGTGGATAAATAAACGGGGTATTTTATATGAGAAAAAAAAAAGGATAAATAATAAATTCGTCAATAATAATTTTTTGAAATATTTCAACAAAAAAAAATTCATCCGGTCTTCCATTAAGATAAACTTAACATTTTCTCTCTCTCTCTCTCTCTCTCTCTCTCTCTTATCTAATTTTTTAGATTTGGTGAAGACGCGTTAAAAAGTTTTTTGTTTGTTTGTTGTTGTTGTTCTGGTTGTTATTAATGCATGTTGTACAATGTGAGTTGTTTCAGGTTGATTTTTATGATTTATTTATTTTTTGTCATCAAGTCCTGATATTATTATTTATGAGAAAATTAAGGTTTACTACATACATATTATTATTATCAGGTATATTGGTGTAATATCTCTCTCTCTCTCTCTCTCTCTCTCTCTCTCTCTCTCTCTCTCTCTCTCTCTCTCATTCATATTTTTTAAAAAAGATGGGTCGTAAGTTGTATTTTATTATCAAATGACCGATTTAAACAATTGATGACACAAACTCATTTGGTAAAAATAAATGTTTTAAAAAAAAAAAATTTTTTTTCTTCTTCTTCTTCTGTCATTCATTAATAATGATAATGATAATAATGATAATAAAATGAAAATTCATTCGTTCGACTGCACCCATATTGTTTTTTTTTTTATAAATATTTTGATGATAAGTTATTTATTGTTTTAAAACAATTTTTTTTCTTTTTTTTGATGTACGTAAGTTATTTTGTTATTATTCATTAACAACAACAACAACAACAAACCAGACTAAATAAATTTAAAAAATTATTATTATTATTATTATCGCCATATTCACGCGTGCGTTTCAAAACAAATTATTAACTTTTTTTTTTTTTTATAATTATTATTAATAGTTTTTTTTTTTTTTTTTTTTTTTTTTTCGTTCAATTTCGGGCCTTTTAGTTAAAATGTTTTTTTTTTTAAACGTCATTAACCGCGCCTACTTATTTTATAAAAACTTCAACACCTTTCTCGTTTATTTTTATTTTATTTTTTCTATAGTTCGGCGAGTTTCTTTCTCGCATTTTTTTTTGAATAGATTTTCTCTCTCTCTCTCTTTCTACTTGGACTCGTACAATCCACAACAAATTATTATTATTATTATTATTATTATTATTATTATTACTATATTTACGACTCACCTTCGACAGGTATATCGCATCGAAAAATAATAATAAAAAAAATTTTTTTAAATAAATGAAATTTTCGTGGATGGCGATTTTTTTTTTTTAAACCGAGCAGATGTTCAACCTTATTATTATTATTATTATTATTATTTGATGTTCGAGAGAGCCTTTTTCGGTACCTTTTCTTTAAAGAAAAATTTCAACAGAGTAAAAAGAACATATGGTTATGGTGAGATTTTAAAATTTCAAACTTTTTTTTTTTTTTTTTCATAGTGAATAAAATTGGCTTAAAGTTAACTGGATTAAATTTAAATCTCTCTCTCTCTCTTTCTCTCTCACTCTCTCTTTTTTTCCTTCTCTCCACTCTTTCTCTCTCTCTCTATCATCTCTTTATTTTTCTGTTTTCTTTCCTCATCTCTCCCTCTATTTTTTTTTTTTTTTTTTTTTTTATGCATTAAATTCATTGTAAATTTTTATCGATTTTTATTTTTTTTCTTTCGGTAATAAAATTTCAGGGCCGTAACCAAGAACGATATCAAAACGAAATATACATATATATAAGCTAGGTATTATTATTATTATTTTTTGATATTGTTGAAAAAAAAAAATTTTTATTAAAAATTTAAAATATCACAATAGAGAGAGAGAGAGAGAAATGTTTATATTGTTTACCTTATAATAAGGTGAGTCACCCAGGTGGCCACTCAAAAACTTCTGGGTGGCATCGATTCTCCTCTTATTCGTTTTTAACATATTTAAGGATACGATAGAAGAAGAAGAAGAAAAGAAAAAGAAGAAAAAGAAGAAGGTCAAATATATTCAATCGTGAATGAATTTATTATTAAAATTTTAAAATATATTCATTCTATTATTATTACTATTCTATTTTTAAATTAGCATATGGGTTCCCGACACAATAATCTCTCCCCTCCCCCTCCCCGAGAGTGGTGGTTGATAAAATATAATCGGTTTAGATAGTGTAAAAGTGTGGGAGTATTGAAGAAAACGAATAAATTCGAATCGAAATCAAAATCATAGAGTAATAAAACAAAACAAAAATTCGTGAACGTACTCAGAGGAAACACGTCATATTCAGGCACCCGTCATATTTATTTTTAATTATTATTATTAATTTATTATTAATTAGTCGTAATTAGTCGTAATTTTATCAGATAAATTACAAAATAAAAAAACTAAATTAAACTAAAAATCGGATCGATATTTAATTGATAATTATTTTTTTTTTAAAAATAAAAATGTCGGATCGTCGTTCGTTTGTTAACTTCCATCAAGTTTGTTTGTTTGTTTATTTATTTTTACAGTACTGGAACTTCAGGTTTAATAAGATAATGTTTTTTTATAACAAAATAAGGATATAAAAATAAATTTAAAAAAAAAAAAAAAACTAAAAAGGAAGAAGAACTTTAAAAAAAAGGTACAAAACTAGTTTTCCAATTAAAATTTGAATCCTACGTCATATTTTTTAAAGTCATTCGCGGTGTATAAATAAAAAATTTTTTTTTTGAATGTTTTATTTAAAACGAACAAAACAACGACAACAACAACAACAAACAACAACAACAATGATGATGATGATGATGATAATAACGATCGTGATACTTTTGATTAAAAAAAAAAATTCTACGTGTTAAATTTTTTTTTTTTTACTTTAATAATTATTAATAATAATTTTGGGATGTCGCCATCAAATCCCCCCTGCCCTTCCCCCTCAAAAAAAAAGGTTTTGTAAAAAAGGTCAAAAGGTTTTGTAAGCGCGTAAGGCAAAAAAAAAAAATATAAAAAAAAAAAAACGAATTTAAAAAAACAAAACAAAAAAAAAAAAAATTTTTTTTTCCAAGGCGAAAAACGATGAAACAATGTTTAGGGGTTGTTTTTCAAAACTACCCTTATCGTTGTAATAAACGTTATTGGATATACGTAACGATGAGAGAGAGAGAGAGAGAGATAGGGAGGAAGGGGGAGAGAGAGATGAGCGATGAATTTATACGGGAAAGGTTCGAGTCTGAACTTATCAAGAGATAATAATAATATTTGATGTTTTTTATTGTAAATGAAACGAGGGTGAAAAAAAAAACTTTTATTATTATTATTATTATTATTTTAATGTCATTTAAAGGGTTGAAATAAAATATAAAAATAAAATTAAATTAAACTCGAATTATTGTTTGTTCGTTTGTTTGTTTGTTTGTTGTTACATTTTTATCAAAAGTAAAAAAAAAAAAAAAATTTGTTTTGTTTCGTTTTTTTTTCCCCAAATAAAATTTTGGCGCGAAATTTCAAAACAAAAAAAATTTAAAAAGAAATTCATGACGTTGAAGGTAACACGTGACCAACGACACGTGATTAAAAATAAAATAAAAATTAAAAAAGTAAACAAATTAAAAATTAATTAAAAGTTTAAAAAAAAAAAAAAAATACAAAATGGCGGAAAAGAACGTTTGGAAATGTTTGTGTGTGTGTGTGATTTCGGACATAATTTTGGAACAAACAAAAATAATAATAATGATAATAATAATAATAATAATATGAAATAAAAACAAGGATTGGAATGGACAAACGTATAAATTTTGTACAAAAACAAATTGATAACTTTTATGTCGGTTGTTTAAATCCAGTTTTTACGATTATTATGAAAAGAAGTTTTTTTTTTTTTGGAATTGTGCAATATTTTCTTTTTTTATATAAAAATGAATGCTTTTAACGATATCTTAAACGATTTTGGAAAAAAAAAAGTTTAGATATCGATTCGGATATTGAATTCCAGGTTTTTGTTGTTTGTCGTTGTCGTTGTTGTTGTTGTTGTGGGAAAATTTTTAATAAAAAAAGTATGCGGGATCCGTTGTAAACAAAAAAAATAACAATGTAGACGTTTTTTTTTTAAGGTCTTAAATCAGGCTCGAAGATTTGTTATACGTAGTAATAATAATAATAATAATTTTTTTTTAGGTGGTCGACCTTTTCGGGTTTGAATTACCGTTAATAAAAAAAAAAAAATAACGCACGTGAAATTTATTCTGGAGAAAAATTTTTCCCCTGGAGCGTATTTTTTTAAATTAACATAAAAATTATGGAAAAGAGTAAAAAAAAACAAAAAAATCGATTCGGGTTTCAGGTTCGTATCAAGCGAAAATAATTGATGAAATTAATTAAAACCTGAAAATCGATTTTTGTTTGTTTGTTTGTATGCGGTTGTAAAAATAAAATAAAAGAAAACTTACCCTTGCATTCGTTGGCATCACGTTCTGTTGCTCTTCCCCATGGACGATCGAAAAAAAACGGTTTGCAACGTTCGCAATCCCTTCCAGCCGTATTATGTTTACAATCGCACGTGAGTTGACCATCACGACCCGTTGGAATGCATCTACTAGCGTGACCGTTGCATTTGCATCTGCCACCGACAGCGAAATCCGATACGGAATACTGATAAGTCATCGTGGTTGTTGTTGTAGAAGTCACGAGATTGTTTGTTATTAGCGGCGATGTGTGTAAGTTCATCGGCCCGATAAATTTAGGGATACCGTTTGAATTCATGTCGATTTGGGATTTCAATCCAGGTTCGTTTCCCGATCCGTGTTTTTGCATTTGGTTTTGCATGGTTCCAGAGGGAAGTTTCGTTTGATTCGGTATTTTGTTTAAATTTAAATTCATGTTTAATTTTTCTTCGAGATCGTCGTTGTCGTCGTCATCTTCGTCGTCTTCGTCAGTGAAATCAGCAACGTCGTCGTCACCACCGCCGCCATTGTTGTTAAATATATTTCTACCGTTTTGTTTTTTATCATCGTAACCTTTTTTTTTGTCATCCATTTTTTTACCATCGTATGATATTCTTTTGTCGTCGTAACCTCTTTTCAAATCCATGTTTGATTTCCTATCATCTTTTCTATTCTTTTCCAAAAGAGGTTCGTTTAGATTGTCGTCTTTTATTTGTGGAAAATGCAAACGATTAAACGTTACTTTTATGTCCGTTGCTGTGACCCAATCTTGCAAAACGGGACTGTTGTCGAAATCGTTTGCACTCGGCCTACCTTCCAGAGTACTAAATGCGATTCTGTTAATGACCGATTTTGTATTTTCTGCGTGGAACCTGTGGGAATCCGTGCAAAGTGCTTCTTGTTCGTTTGCTTTCGTTATGATTGCTCTGTTTGATCTTCCGTAAACTTTCTTACACTGTCCGGAGTAAAATTGAAGGGCCTGCCACGTTTTACCGTAATCCATGCTTTTATATATTGCGATCGAATCGGGTTTTAATGCTTGCGGACAAAATTGCAAACTTACGTAAGTTAATTCGTATTTTTTACCAAGCGGAAGTATGAACGTGACGTTGTCAGGTGGGCTGTTGGGTGACGATGGAGTCAATTGCGGTTCGGATCTCCAACACGTCACGTTGCTCGGATTATTCAAATCCGTTAAATACGATGCCGGGTGTCGTTTTTTCGGTACCGTATCGTCACATATGTGACAATTACTCGTTCCCGGTATGTCCGGTACGTCGCAATACCTGACCGGTGACGTCACACCGCAAACGCTCGATGCTTGCACGGGTTTTTCAAATGCGGCGTTAACGAAATCCGGTACGCATTTTTTCGGTTTATTATCGTCGTAACATGGATCCGGTGGATTTTGTTGAATCGAATACATTTTAAAAAAACCATCTCCGCCGCACTGTGAATTTTTGAATAATAGTATCAGGTACAAAACGCCAAATGTGAAATATTTGCAAATTAGCGCCATTTTTTTCTTATTGTTATTATTATTATTCACTGACAATACAACATTTATTCTCACCGATAATAAAAATTGTTTTTTTCATTTACAAAAAAAAAAAAAAAAATTCTTTAAAATTTTTTTTTTTTTTCTGTTTTAACTTTTCAACTTTTAACTAGTTGAGTTACTAATCCAAAGTTTAATAATAATAATAATAAAATTATTTTTTTCTTTTTTCTCTCCGGTCCTGGAAAGAAAACCTGGAAGAAGAGAGAAAAAAAATGTTATTAAAAAAAAAAATTTTTTTTAAATCATAATTTTTTTTTATTAAATCATA